ATATACTGCTTGGTTCGAAGGAGAAAATGATTTGGTCCAAAGAAGAAAATTGTTTTACTTAATTTTTTTCTTTTATTAAAACATTCGTTTTATAATTTTGTTTAAATAAATTGAAATTTATTTAAGAGATTGAAATTGAAACTTAAGAAATTTGACATTTCTTTTTCATATATTACTGACGATCTCTTTTTATTACTTCATCCAGCGCGCCCTTCTGCTTTGTGATTTTCCATCTAATATTCATATCGATCATCTCATGATGCAATCACCCACCCTTCTTTCTGACTATAATAATAGTTTCTTGACTTCATTGTGCTTATAATGCATCCTTATAGTATCGGAAAAAGCTTTCTTCGTATCATATTTATTGGTAATCATTGGAAACAATGTAACAACAGTAATGTAATATCGATATGTAATAGATATTCAGAGTTGAGAAATAATGCGTTATTTGTAACGCATCTTTTGTAACGTTATCTTTACTGCTATTTTTTCTGTATGTAACGATAACGATAACGAATTCTACTGTTATCTATTGTTACCGTTACTTTTGTCATCTCTATTTAACAGATGATGCGCTGATGCGTTGATAGCATATTATTAATTGAATATCTTAATAAGAAGCACCTCGATATTCACTGAAAATTAGTACGTAGCTTTATCTTATTTTTCATGTAAAAATGATGCAAAATCGGATTTTACAATTTAGCTGTTAAAAATTTTTTATAAATTTAATAATAGGTATGCTTAGTGTGTAGTTCACTTTTTTATAAGAAACTATGGAACAAATGTATGTAAGTGTATTACACACTAAGCATATTTATAATTAAATTTATTAAAAATTTCTAAGAGCCTCAAATTGCAAAATATGACTCTGTACCGAGAATAATTTTTGTATGAAGAATAATAAAAGATAAGAAAATAGAATCAAACTCATAAAGAAATATTAGTTTTTCGAGTTAGAATTATTGCAGTTTTAGATGATTTGTTGTTTTTAAATTTGTTTATTTGAAACAATAGCTATTTTTAATTAGATAAAATAATTTAATCCAACAAAAAACAAAATTCAAAATTTTAGCTAAGTAATATAATATTTAGTTGAAAAATTTCTTTAAATGTGTGATGTGCTTTTTCCATCAAATAACGTGGTTTAACCTGATGAAACAAAATATATATTATATTTTATATAATATTAATTATAAATTTTATATAATTATGTTGTTTGATATAAAATTACTTGATTGGATCAAACAAATCGAAGTCAAACGAATAGAAATACTGGGCGCAAAGAAACCTTTTTTTATCTGTACATGTTGTGTATGTTGTGTGTACACCTTGTATACCTTTGTATATAAGTATACGTATACTGTATACGTGTCTACTGCAGAAAAGCGAAATACTCGTATTTCTGAGCAGTTAAAACCATGTTGAACGCATTGTATTTTTTGTTAACATTTACAAAGGAACTGTTGCGCAAATATTTTTATTAAGTTGATTTTTATTTAAAGGAAGTAAAATTTCTGGTTAAATAAATTCGGTTCTAAGGATCAGGCATCCTGTTTCCTTCAATACGCGGCTGATTAGTTCATTGTCAGATTAATTTAACCAAATCTCTTTCTCTGTGTAACATTAAAACAATAGATGGTATACAGTATATCTGATACCAGACATACAAAACGACGTGTAAAAGTAGAACACATTAACCTGAGTAGGATCTCTGGCATTTTGTAAACAACCACGTAGAATGTCAAGACATTGATGAAAAAAGATTAACATTTTGTGGGAGGGGCTCTATAAGCGCAGGATCTTGAAAATGGCTGAAACATGACTCTCTTAGCAAAGTTGGATATCGGCTGTCAGCTAAAAGCGGAATAAAAATGCAAGCAACGTGAAGACAATTATTTCCGATGTATCGCGAGCGTATTATGCGCGTGTCGCTAAGAAACAGTCGCGATTCAGCCATTTTCTCGCGTTAATAGAGTTCGTCCTCGTGCTCAAGTTGACGTACTATAGTCTCTCTACCTTTACGCGTGGTTTTGTATGTTTTCCGTCAGACATTCTATATAGGAAATATGTATTCAGCATGAAATTTTTTTTCCATGCATTTCAAAACCGTTGAAAAATTCCGAATTTTTTCTAATTATTTCTGCGTGCAATTAATTCTTTGATTTCTAAATTTCCCACACTTTTTTGAAACTTTTTCTATATTAAAAATATATCGCCAGCCATAACTACTATAGTGCTTCTTCGTTTAATAAATGTTCATGTACTTGAGACAAATTTTCTGTGTGCATTAATACAGAACACTAAAGAAAGATATTTGTTTCGGGATTTCGCGCGATAATTGTGACGTTGTATAATATTGTATGATAATTATGTACAGTTTCTCTCAGATTATTACGACGTTGTTTTCCATCCGAGGAATATGTAACCGGCGATATTTCTCTCATGTCGCAAACGGGATTTAATAAAGTTTTCTACTTATAATGACATTTCATTTCCCCAGCTGATGATGTTGAAAATGTTTACACCGTGGACTCTGCAAAATTATGTATTTATGGCTTAAATCCGCTCACGGTCTCATAGAGTCGGCGGATTTATACGTGATATATGGTCGCGGAAGACGAGTTTTCCGGACCATATATTCCGCCACCGAAATCCATATTTTCACAGAATAAGGTTCTTATCTCTCCGGCCACTACAAACTAGTTATTCCCCAGGGTCTACTGTGCTCTACTCAGGAAACCGTCTGACTTTATTACGCTGCTCAAATCGCAATTCCGCCAAAATTCTCTAGCGCGTAAAAGTCTTCCGTCAAAAATATTGTTGCCGCACCGTGGATGATGACAGTCGCGAACTACGTGTTGCACATTCGACAGAAAATAATCAGGGAACCTCTCAGAGAAACAATTTTATGTTAGATCGTAATTATATCATAACACGATCTCGCCTATAAAAAAGAAAAAGAAAATCGGTAATTATGCATATTAAGGGACACCTCGCCTCGATGATCTTGACCTTCACATATGTTGTCAAGGATATGTCTCGGAGTAACGTTTATAAAGTTTTAGGTGGCGGTCTTTTTTTATTAGAAAGTTATGAACAAAAGAAGCTTTGACTATTTGGGCTGTAGTTTTCTGATTGTATGTATGTATTATATATATTATATACAGGCATCTTACTATACACAAAGTACACGTATATATACACGTGTATGCGCGAGGAAGGGGCTCACCCTCTTACCAAAAAACTAACCCTAACCAAATCCATCATGTACGGTTTAGAATATTGCATTAGATAGGTTAGGTTAGGATTAGTTTTTTGGGGAAGGGGTGCGGGCGGAGGGGCGTGCATACACGTGTACTTTGATAAGATGTATGTAGTAAGATGTCTGTATATAATATATACATACATACAATAGCAAAACTATAGCCCAAATAGTCAACTTCTTTTGTTATAATAAATAAAAAGACGTTATGGTGTCAAGAAAATTTAAATAAAGCTATAAACATTATGTTACAATTGAAAATCAGGAAAGACCATATGATTTTAATTAGAAGATCGGCAAGATATTGTTATTTCTTTAAACATGTTTATTAAACATTTCTTTAAGTTTTGTTTTCTTTAAACATGTACTTAACATAAGCCATATCTTTCATCCTATTCTGGTTATATAACCCTCTTCCCCCAGAGGGAAATTTAACAGAATTCGAATACATATTCAACTTATTTTTAAACGTAAGTTTTTATAGTATCAAGCGCTGCAACAATATAAGAAAGAATCATACAATTCGGTGTTGAAAATTCAGTCATATAAATTTCAATATTATTTGAAGTTAAAATTCAAAAACTTCGTCATATCTCTGGTTTGCCTTGCACTGTTTTCACATTCTCCCAAAGGCAAATTGGGAGAGTTCGATGAAACTTCGATTATTACAACTCGCGTCATCGTACATTGAATATACATATTTGACATATGTTTATACAATTTAATAACGATTATGTTTCGAGCGTATTTCGAGACTGAATAATCCAATTACCGAAGTTTGATGAAACTACGAATAACGCGCGATTAATGATAACGCCTGCAAATTAAACATTTACATCTTGATTTATTTGCAACTGTCATACAAACTGCCGGCCAGTGGGAGATATTATACGTTTTGTATCCGCCCCTGTCAAAGCATTGACATTACATCCACACACCACACAGTCATAGCGTGCACGCACATACTGGCTCGTCGTTAAATTGATCGCCCATAAAAATAGTCAGAAGTTTCTTCTCTACGATGGGTAAAGGCCACTTCCACCCTTTTCTCTCGCAGCCGTTTCTTCGTGTTCAAGAGGATTGTGAATCGTGGCAAAAATAAATCCCTACTTTCATATTCCGCTCACGCCGAATTATATATATATTCGACGCCCCCGACTGCATACGTACGCCTATGTAGGTATATTTGAGAATGCGTGGGTATGTATGCAGCACCATGCACAGTGCAATGTTACCCGCTGGTATGAATCACGATCGCGTGAAAGCGCGAAATGCGACAATCGCGAGAAACAATTTTGATAAAGGCTCGATCCCAATTAGCGTCGAATAACCGCATCGTCGACGAACGTCGCGTGTGTTTGGGTAACGTGACAATTTTGCCCACGTAAGCTCTATCACGACACCTGAACGTGTGCCACGTGAGTATGCGTGTGTGTTGTGTGTGTTACAATGGCTGTCAATTGTTGTGTGTGTCAAATGGCTGTCGATGTAAAAAATGAATGCAAACACGGCTTTCGAATGCAGTGGCTGCGATTGCATAATCGTCTTTTTAATTCACTTTTTTTCTGCCGAGAGCTTGCGCTTCACCATCGTGTTATTGAATTCACGGATTATTAATAACAACAGAGAAGCAGCGATGCCTCTTTACGTCCATCGCTGGTCATCGGATTGACAGTGGGGTGACGATGTCGGTGTTGGTAGTAGTGACAATACGGAGATAAGAGACACTTACCGGAGAAAATGGAAGCTATAGCTGCAATTATGAATGAGACGACGACACCAGGCCCGGCAACGCTGCGCGCCACCATTCCTGCGACAAGGTACATCCCTGTCCCGACGCAGGAGCCAACCCCTAAAGACGTCAGGTCCAGAGTCGTCAGGCACTTCTGCAAACAACAAACATTTCGCAAACATGGAGACAGCCGCCACAAGAGAAATCATCGATACGCAAAAAGCGAGATGTAAAATATGCTTCAGTAAAATTGCAAAAGTTAAATTGAAGATTTAAATTGGACAAACACTGCATTAAATTAAGTCTTGTAATGGTTAACAAATGCAGTTGGTTGAGTGTTTAAATATAACATTCAATAATTAGTATCAAATATGGTAAAAAATTGTTAACAACTGTCTGGGGTAATAATTAGTAAAATAAATTTTTCATTTAGTTGAACCAATAAATAGTTTAGTAAATAATAAAATAATTTGTTAATAATTACTGAATAGTTTGATTATTACCAAAATATTTGATCATTTCGTATATTTATCATATAATCCGGTGAGTAATACTAAACAATATGATTTTATCTAACAAATTGTTTGATAATGTACCACATAAATTAATAATAGTCACTAAGTGGTTATGGTAGTTAGATTGAAGTTTCCTGTAAGTGTATGATGCATTGGTACAGATAATAAAAATAATTTTTATCCACAAAATTACTGAAATCAAACATATAAACAGACGAGATAAAGTTAGCCTCTATTTACTAGCCGGTAATGCTATAGAGACTTCTTTCACGGAGATCTCGGAACTATTAATCATATATATTTTATACGTGGTTTTCTTATTCCGAGTTGCTTATCCCAGTAGTAAGACAAGGCAGTCCACGTTGCAACATGTTTATATTTCAGTTATTGCAGAAAAAATATGCTTTACAGAATCATCATGGACATAAAAACATAGAAGAAGTTTGTCTCTGTCATGTTTGTACAATTAATCACAATTAGTTGTCTGAAAAGTTGTAACTTCATAATTCTGAAAAGTATGCTGTCTTGGTTTTGACTATATCAAAACAGGCTAATAAGAAACCACGCCAATAAGATGTCGATTGAGTTGAATAAGTGATGCACCGCATTTAGTAGAGCAATATTTTTCAATTAATTAGCACATATAACTAAGAGGCGAATCCTACACATCATTTTTCATTGTCTGTTATCAATTTCCTTCCCGAAATTAAACGTTTATTCTTAGACTGAATTAAAATGAAATTGTAGTTCGTAACTCAACAATTTATTCTCGAAGTGTGCAAACAGAACCGTTATATTTATCATTTTATCCGAAACAATTTATTTGAATGCGAAAAACAATTTTCAGCGTGATTTATTCGGTTATGTATCGCGCGCGCTGAGATTGTTTTCCCGGGTTTCTTTCCCTGTAAAAATGTTTCATCTAAATAAACCTTTATTCATCAGGCATCATTTTTTATCCCTCTGCCGCGTGTCAAACAGCGAGTGTTGCACACAGAAAAATATTCTACTGCTAAGAAAAACGATTATTCTATAAGCATTTACTTGCTTTCTGTTAAGTAACAGTTATCGTCAACAAAGAATATTTTCTTAATAATAATCTTAAAATATACTCATCCCAAATTTTAGAAAAACTTATTGTGTAACTCAAAAAAACAATGTAGATTTTCTTTAGAAAAATGTTATAAAACTTTATTGAAGCTAAAAAGCTTATTCGAAAATAATAGATAAACCAGGTATTTATTTTAATTTAATATTTTTGATTGAAATGTTAAACTTACAAGCATACAGAATGTATTTTCAATAAATTTAATGCTTGTGATGAACTTATGATAGATTTGTAGATATATAAATTTACGAAATCCTTGAAGTAAATAAGATTTATTTGAATGCAGTATATATTTTTCTGTGTGTACATATTTCATTGCTGAAGAAGTCGATTACTTAATTTACATCTGTTCTTTTATGCAACGGTTATTTTCGACAACAAACATTTTCTAAAATATAATCATCTTTTGATTTATTTCGGCTTCCCAATTCATTTTGGTATCCCAAGAGATCCTTATAAATAAGAAAATTTATTATTTGTATAATCGTGTAATTTTTAACTTGTCCATACAATACTGTTCTATATTAGAAGTAGAGACATTGGGTCAATTATAAAATATAATCTAACTTTTTACACAAATTTTGCTTATTGTATTTAGCAAAGTCCTTAAGGGAATGCTGGAATCGATAACGAACTCGAACAATGTCAATAATGCAGAGACGATCGTCACTAACATAATCACGCTATTCTTTTCGTATTTCTATATACAGAACTTAAATAAATATGTATTGCTTTGTTTTACCATATTCAATGGAAACCATATATGTGTAGAAATTTTTCGGCAAACTTTTTCGATATTCTTAAGCTTTCGATATTCTTAAGCTTAATGCAGATGCGAAGGTAGAGCAATGTTTTTGCAAATTTTTCTGTTTGAAATATCCACACTTTCGGTATGTACAAGCTGCAGAACTTTTGGATCAGACAAATATTACGTTAACAGCTTAAGATTTTACATTAAAAATGTTTTATTCGTTTTCGTCACATATCGAACAATGTTTTTATTTATTTTTGCACGTACTTTCATTGCGTAAAAACATTTGTAATTCTGTGTAACCAATAAACTTTGCAGAAAAATGTCAGTGTTCTGTCGGTAAAGTTTTCAGTTACAGCATCCATTTAAGCGAATCTATGTTAATGAGAAGTGCAATAGACGCCGGCTGTGTTTGAAAATCAAGATTACTTTCTAAAAATGTACTCACGATATATCCCGACGATCGCACATCGCTATTTCGGCACTTCCGATACTTATTTCCACGCCAGGCTCACTTTCGATAGATAAAAGATGCGCAGAACGCAGAGCGATGTCGATCGCGATGTGTCAGTGGAGGTTGCTCGTCGCGAAAAGATCGTTGTACAAGATGGCCGTGCAATTAACGACGCAGTGCCGAAAGTGCGCGCCAAAACGTGAACGATGTCGCGGTTCGACAAGGACGCGCTCTAGTAGCTACGTCTCTCTCACTCTCGCTGACGGACTGATCGCGCGAGATCCGACGTCGCGTATATCTCTAGCGTCGTTTTGTCTTTCTCTTTTCCTCAAATTATCATCGCGATTCTAATTCCTCGTTAATAAATCCAACGATCGTCCGATTCTAATGCTACTTGAGCGAGTCGATATTAATGAGAAGTGCAAAGACGTTGCGAGAAGCACCGGCTATGTGTATCGAAAATCAAGAAGATTGCTTTCTAATAACGTACTCACGATACTACATCCCAGCGATCGCACATCGCTATTTTGGTACTCCCGATACTTATTTCCGCGCTTGGCTCACTTTCGATAGATAAAAGATGCGTAGAACGCGGAGCAATGTCGATCGCGATGTGTCAGTCGAGGTTGCTTGTGTTCTGTTCTGTTCCGTAATGGCTCCGGGGGAAAAGGTTGTCCCCATACGCCATTCTCTAGTCGAGGCTGCTTGTTGCGAAAAGATTAATGTTCAAGACGGCCACGCAATCGACGCAAGTGCCAAAATTGTGCACTGCGGTGTGTATGGTGGCGCGCTTGTACGACTCTCTCGCTCATGCCTTACCACTCGATAGATCAATAGTTACTAGAACTTCTCGATCAAAGTCGCATTCGTATCTAGCGAGAATTTATTCAGGTGTGGTTTAATTCGACATATAAGGCCGGAGAAATATAAAAAACTTAAATAGTAAAATGTAAGCAATAAATAGATTGACCAATCGCAGTCGATGATTCTTCTTATGGCCCAAGGATCAGCGACTGTGATTGGTCAATTTGCTTATCGCTTACGTCGTACTGTTTAAATTTTTGTGTTCTCGGTCTTATCGAGTTAAGTTCTCGCTTTCTGGATGAACCAACAGTCGTGAGCAATATACAGCTAGATTTGCATGCTAGATATGCATGCGATTCTGCAGCCTTATTTTATAACGTTCTAACGACAATGTCACTACTATGGCGTGTCGTTGCGTAGTTTTTCTACCATATAGGCTTTCTATAATAAAGGTCGATTGTTCCAACCTCTTGGTAAGTTAACCCCAGTAAACAAGATGATGTCAAATGACGTCTTAATGACGTATTATTGATGTCTCTAACGTCAACTGGGACAGTTAAATCATGTGTCTATCTCTAATTTGAAGAAAAAACGAAGGTTTCTTTAATTGTCAGATAGCTTATACTAAGAAGTCATAAGATAATAATCATAAGTAGGCAAATTGATCAACCATAGTCGATTATTTTTTAAAATAACTGACTGTAATTGATAATTGGTAATGGCTTGTAGTTTATGACTAATGGTTTATTGTAGAAGATCCATAACGATAACGATGTTGTCGTTAGAAGTTACACAGTTGCATCACTAGTCGGAAAGTTCTAGTAATTATCGATCCATCGAGTGGCATCGCGGAGCCGCGATCTGATAGAACGGCGTAGGAGCGCGCCACCCTTCACGCCGCAGTGCACACTTTCGACACTTTGCGTCGTTGATTGGCCGTCTTGTACATCGATCTTTTCGTGACGTACAGCTTCCCCTGACACATTGCGATCGACATCGCTCCGCGTTCTGCGCATCTTTTATCTATCGAAAGTGAGCCTGACGCGGAAATAAGTATCGGGAGTGCCGAAATAGCGATGTGCGATCGTTGGGATGTATCGTGAGTACGTTATTAGAAAGCAATCTTCTTGATTTTCGATACACACAGCCGGTGCTTGTCGCGGCGTATATTGCACTTCTCATTAATATCGACTCGCTCAAGTAGTAGTAGAATCGGGTGATCGTTGGATTTATTAACGGGGAATTAGAATCGCGATGATAATTCGAGGAAAAGAGAAAGAAAACGATGCTAGAGATACGCGACGTCGGATCTCGCGCGGTCAGTCCGTCAGCGAGAGTGAGAGAGACGTCTACTAGAGCGCGTCCTTGTCGAACCGCGACATCGTCCACGTTTTGGCGCGCACTTTCGGCACTGCGTTGTTAATTGCACGGCCATCTTGTACAACGATCTTTTCGCGACGAGCAGCCTCCACTGACACATCGCGATCGACATCGCTCCGCGTTCTGTGCATCTTTTATCTAT